CTTCCAGATTGAGGGATTTCACTAGGCACTCTGGGAAGAGACAACTGATTGTGATCCCAGCTCCACCTGTTACGTTAAAATGACAACCTAGAATGGCTCCTCCCTTTTAGTCATATGCTTACCTAAGGCACAATGGAGCCCAACACAAACATCCTTACCTTACTTCCTTTTTACCTTTAATTCTTCCTGGAGCACTTAAAAATCCTGCTTCCTCTCAGACATTCCAACTGGTTTGATGGTCAGGTTCATGTACTCTTCTGAGGGTTTCTAGAACAAACAACTCAACACTAATTTGGGCAGTATCTGTTTTTACCATTTTGAGGGACTTGTCTCTTACCAGACAAATTTGAAGTTAGAAGTGGCTGATCTGATGGAAAATATAGTCTGGGGTTAAAAAAAAAAAAAAAAAAAAGCAGGAAGGATATAGAAAGAAAAGACTCACACATTGACTTTTCTCAAACTAAGCATATCTTTGTATCTCTCTCTGCTTTGATCCATTATTGTTTGGAATTATGGATGTCCCAATCACTTTATCTTCTTGGTCAGTTTCTCCCATTTGCCCATTGGGTAGTTTATGAAAACACCTCCTTTAGGTATTATGCCAAAGAGGAGAAAAGTGGTCAAATTCGTATTTGCCAATTGGTATCCCTGTCGGAACTACTACTGAAGTTAAAAAAAAAAAAATCACATTTGGTGATTTCAGTAGGGTTACTAACAAAATAGACAACAAAAATGAGATTTAGTTAGAATCTCCTAATAATAGGAGGTAGATTTGCTAAAAGTAACTAAAATGAAATTCCTTCACCATGTGGCTTGTATCTCAAGGTAACTCCTTGGGCTTGAGTATCCTGATAAAATGTCTTACAATCATATCAAGATCTCATTTATTTCATTTCTGACTCTATTGCAATGGAAGTCAAGAACAGATGGCATGGCTTTCAAAAGAATCTTTTTCATTTGGCTCTTGTGAATACCAGAAAGTAGAATTTTTTTTTTTTTTTGTGTGTGTGTGTGTGTGTGTGTGTGTGCTGATTTTGAAGGGGCCCATCATGTGGAATAATTTAGAATGCTCATCCTCTTGGCATGGCTATCATTAGTCCTCATTTGCAACCCGTCTTCCTTATTAGGTTAGTAATTATTATAAAGGAAGTATAATTTCATTTGAATTTGTAGAATTTTTCATTCTGCGTGACATTGAAAGTGAAATCATTGGGGAATGTGATAAATATACATGAAACTCTGTAAATGTTTACTGATAAAGAAAAGACTAATAGTTATCTCAAATGTGGTGGTGGACTTTTAGCAGATAGCTAAAGCTAAAAAAATGAGTGTGCAATCATATGTCCATCTACATTTCTGGTTCTGAATATGTTTGTTACAGAACAAACCTTTCATAGTAAAATATAAACTGTATTTGTAACATCCAAGAAATATGAAGTTTGTATTTGCATAGTAGCAGTACAATAAGAAGCAGAACTAGCAGCCAAATTTATGCCAATGATATTGAGCAATTCTGAGACTTAATTTTTACTTTTATCTTGGTCTGACTCCTAAGAAATGCTCTTTTCTGATTACTGGCCATTACTTGTACCACATATGAAATTCATTGTGCATTTTGGAGCCACAACTTTCTATCCTTAGGTTTTATTTCTTATTCTAGAAAAAGGGGTTAGGCTATGACACAAATACCTCTTAAATTTGTTTTAAAGGTAAAATAAGATTTATATGAAAACTGTCTGAATGGTAGAGATGTCTTCCTTCAAAATCCATATAATCATTCTCTGCCTTAGTGGTCTACATATAATGATGGAGATTAACTAAAGAGTGAGATGAGGGTTGCTGGAATCACATGTATTCAATTCTCTAGGACCAAAAGTATGACCCATACACAGTGGCAATGATAATAAACCTGGTGCTATTCAACAGAACTGTCTTCCGTATTTGGAAGATGTATTTGCGCACACAGAATTTTCACCAGAAAGTTTTTATAGCAAACTTTTTTATGTCAGAAGTTTATTTTATTGGTAAAATATTAAATAATATACAGAATTAAAAACTGCACTTACACTTCTGAGAAGAAATAAATCTTGGACAAATTATATGCTTGTTCCTGAGATTCCCTAAATTTATTCCAGTAGCTGTGCACTCAGACAGTACAAACCTTTATAATATAATCCTTTTCACAAAGTATTACAAAGTTTCTGCAGCTTCTTTAGTTGTACACACATACAGACACACACTCACACATGCATATACAACACTCATACACATATACACAGTACCACATACATGCAAAAAGCATGTATGGGTGTGCATTAAAAACAAAGAAAATACAAGTCCCACATTTTAGTCTGCAGTGATAAACCTGTTTAGTGGAGGTCTCCAAATCAGTATATAGCAAGAGTGACTTGTCACACAGCTGCAAAGACTGTTTCAGCATTTCCATAGTAAACCCCATTTTCTGAGGTATGGTATTTGAGCCTTAAAAAAACTACATTACACTGAGCAAACCTGACATACAAGGTCTGGAATTTTAATTTTACATATATTTATATATATATTCTTTTTTAAACAATAGTTTTCTTTTCCCAAATTATTAGTTTGAAAAAAAATGAGGTTTACTGGTTTGACCTTTTTTTTTTTGTTTGTTTTTGTTTTTTTGCTTCTAAAACTCAGAATATCCTAGAAACTGTCAAGCAATTAGTCTTTAAAATTGTCTAATTACCTTTGGTATTGTTAAAAAAAATTTAAAATGGCCAAGACACATACTGTACAAATGCAGTAACTGCCTTTAAAAGAAATGCCAAAGAAATGTAATTTTTTAACAAAACATGTATTTACATTACAGCAGTTTTACTACAGGAACACAGGTATTTAAAAAAAAAGAAAAGAAAGAAAACCAGCACACTACATATAAATATGAACAATATGAAAATACTTCTTACTTAAATTTTGTATGAAAACAGGGTTGCTCCATATATTTTAAAAAAATTTTCCCCAATAGGTGATGTACATTTAAAATTGACCTAAGTGCTTTCATAATTCATTTCCAAAAGATGAGAAATGAAATAAGAAATATTAAATATTAGTTTCTCAGAGCATTGGGCAGGATCTAAGAAGAAAATTCAGTTTATCAGTATTCTAACTTTAGGTCACATTTCTCAGGCAAAGATAACTAAGTTCAGTGAAAATTTAGCCTAAATAAAGATATCACGTGACCAGACCAGGGATTTCTATGTTATCTAACCTTTTGATAGTGGAGTGTTTTTCTCTTTGCCTGCTGTGTCCCTTAACATACTAAGATTTCCACAGGTTTCTTTTTACCATTAGCTAAAGATAGAACAGTTCTGAAAAGAAAAAAAAAAATCACCATAGTTTTTAAGACTTCAAGAGGAGTATTGCACTTGTACAGAAAGAAAGTAGAGAATCTTTTAAAACCATTCTAGGATTGCAAATAACACATGGTCTAAAAGGTCCAATTGTTAAGAACAAACATGGGGCCTGAGGACCCCACCCCCCCACACCTGGAATTTTATTATATTAATGTTAAAGCATTATTCTCCCAAAGTGGGAGAAAATTTAAGACTCTTTTCTCTGCATTTTTAACATCTTTCTAAATACTTGCAAAAAATTGTTCAATCTCTCATGATTTACATTTTCAGAGGAAAGCCAAATCAAAAGGTAAAATCTGATAAAAAGGAAGGCAGATGCACCGTAATTGGATTACATAATCTCTGGAGTCATATTTTAGGTACCCAATATTTGAAAGTAAAAGTAACACAAAGATTATATAGCTTACTTTTTCAATCCAACCACTTTTCTTTTTAATATAAAACTACACTTGAGTATAAAAATATGCCAGCAGATTATACAGCCAACAAAAAATCACAAACAAAAAATTAAGACTGAAGGGAACAATGAATTTGAAGTAAGAGTTGACCTAATCTTCTAATCAGTAGGAGGAAAGCCAGGCAAAGACATCCAGACACAGTGATAAAAGATGAACAGAGAGGAGAGACAGGTGGGGAGAGTGTAAAGAATTTAAGAAGAGAATTTAGTCACAAAAAGGGAAAGTGATTTATGTTCAAAATCTTAAGAGTGCTGGACAGACAATTCTTTTTTCTTTTCTCCTCCTTTTTTAAATCATAGTTGCAGAATTTGAACTATTTTTTTTAAAAAGAACAAAAGAAATCTACAACAAAAAATAAAATTGAGTCCTTCTCTTTTTACAGTGTATTTTTTTTTAAATCCATCTCTAGTAAATTAAATTAACTGAAATCCTGGTAAGTGCATAGTAGGAGATTCAGTGACCTCCACCTGTTCAAGAAGCATTTCTTTCTGTATGTCATGTGAGGTAATCTAAAGGCCCAATTTGCTGCAAACTGGCTTATTTGTACCTATATGAAGTTACATGCCACACTTTATGTGGTGTAGCAGAGGGCCTCTAAATTTTATGTTTTATTCACAATAAAAAGGACATCTTAGAAAACTAGTTATTCATGTACCATTCTGTATGAAATAAAGGTTAATTAATAACAAATTTATACAGAAAATATACAAATATGATGATACGGGGGAAAATCCCATGAACAGAACTTATTTCTGAGAGTGCATGTGAAAAATATCCACAAACTTACAGTACAGCAAGATAAAACTAAAAAGCTACAAAGAGAATGTTATAGGAAACCTTATGGAAATTCCAAAATTTTAGGTTTCTGCAATAAATGTAAAAATATTCAAGGTGTCATTATTTGGCCTAGCAATACACTATGATAAAAAGAAACACTAGCATATCACAGCTTCTTGGTCATATGACATTTGCTTTACATAACCAGCAGCTCATATTTAAAAAGCTGTCATATCCTAACACATCCACTGCAGGTAATACACAACCATGGTCTGAAACCATTTGAGATTAGGCTTTGGAGGATAGCAATGTGATGTAACTGTTCAGTTTTGCTTCATTCAAGGAGAATTAATTATCTGCTTTTTAAACATTATTCCATAAAACATTAACAGATTAGAAGATAGAGAGGTTCCAAGACTAGAATAACACTAGTCTGGGGATAAAAATTAAAAACAACACTGCATTTTTTTGGACTCAAAATTCTACTAATAAATCCTTGTGTGATACAGAACTTATTCTATTCTCTCTTAAAAACAAAACAAAAGCACATACCATAAATCAATTCACAGCTAAAATTTCACCCCACCTTCTATTTTACCTATATAATATTGGGATGGGATTCAGAAATACTATCAAACTAAAAAAACTAAAATTTGGTTTCAAAGTTTCCATTTGCTTTTAGCAGCTAAGCTGAAAGTTTCTGTATTGAAAATTGCTTTAGCATTTTTTCCCTAATAACATAAAGATGAATTATACAGTATTCAATTTTAAGTAATTTTTAAAAATACACAATAAAAGTGTTGTAGGGCTAAAATAGCTAACCAACACTCTCAATGCATTTTAAAAAGGCACCAATATAAAAATGTTCATAAGTATTTAATACATTAAATTCAGGATTTTCAGAGACCAGTTACTGTATATTTTAATTATTTTGCAGAAACTGGAGAATTAAAAATATTTCTAAAATAACTTTTGTATGTACAAACTTGAATTTCACTCCCACATTTTTTTCTTTTGCATTTGGAGAATTTTCTGCTATAGAACAATCAAACAGAGAGTACTTACTAAAATAATATATAAAATATAACTGAAGAGGACCACAAATGTAACTTTTTAAAAAAACAAAATGAACAATCCAAAGTTTTTAAATATGTAGGTAGTACCCCTCTTATAGTTTAAATTCTGTCTATAAATTAGGGGCATATAGTTTTTTATTTATATTTCTACAGCCTCTTACGTTCTTTTTCTACCCCAACAAACCATTTGGAGATAGGATGAAATAAGATTTGGAAAATATTTAAAACATAATTTTTCATCTGGATGACTTCTCTGGTGTAAATTTTGATAAACATCTATAAAATCTAAACACTTCATGGTTTGGGAGTTATATAACTGAAACACAAAAACAATAAATTTTTAAAAGCTCATGAAAATATTCTTGTCTTTCTCTATTTACCAACAAGTAAAAGTTACTATTTTTTCTATATTTTCTTCCTTTTCAAAAATGAATTTATATTTCTTTAAATTTTTATCAATCATCTTAAATTTTTTTCATTGTTTCACTTTGTTCTGGAAGTAGATCATAAAGACCCAAAGATTTAAGTTTAATAATTGCCACTAGTCCTAAAGACACGCTAGTAACATCTCATTATTTTTTAAATAAAATCAGGTATTAAGTATAATTTTAAATCTCTATGTTCTTGTAACATCTAATAACTTTTTGCTTCTTAAATTTCCTTTAAAAGAATGTGTGTGATACACATGCACAGCATATGCACTGATTCATACAACTGCCTGTATGTATGTAGGACAGAAACTTCCTACTTTGTCCCCAATCCGAACTCTAGGCTCTCATTCTTCTATTTTGTCCCTCCAGAAAATTCTTAACGGAATGTTTCAACATCTTCAAATCTCTTTCTTTCTATCTGCCTACTGGCCACTTTCATTATTTTAAAAAGCCTGTTTACTATGGCTTTTTAAAAGAGACTATCACTATTCCAAAGAGGCAGCAACCTTTTCCAAAAAGAGCTGGAGATAAAAAAAAAAATCTGGGCAAAATTAGGGCAAAGAGATGTGATGAATTTCTGGATTTTTGCCAGATTGGAAAATACAGAGGATAACCCATTTTCATGCCCCTCAAATACTTTCTGCACTGTGAAATCTCACCTAAATAAATTGGGCATACAACTGTTATGTAAAACCTTTGATTTATTTTGTGTCTGACCCTCGTATTTATTTTTAGGTGCTACCACGTTGCATATTTCCCTTTTTGATGAAGGGGCATGCAAATATAGCCATCCAGTGAATCTCAGAAAGCACTGTATTCACAAAAATTCTTTCTAACCTACAAATGTGAATTGACCTTGTCCTCATTTGTCCCGGTCACACCTTGATCCATCATCTCTTTCTGTTCCTCATATCATGAAGCTAAGAAAATGCAAGTACACATTTGTAGCAAATATACATTCACAAGTATTAGCTCCTTTCAGTAAATAGTTTCTCATAAAAATGAAATCAGAAAAAGAGAGTGCATTAGTACTGTCTTCACAGGGGAACTATACAATTCTTTAGGTCCACCTAAATTCAGTTTCATCCCAGGGCAGGTAGGTAAGTGATTATTCAAGTGAAAAAAAAAAGAAATAAAATTCATAAATGATGCCAGCAGAAATTCATACACAGGCAAAATTGTGAACATAGTGACTGGCATCCAAATGTTTCCCTAAATTACAGTAAAACACAAAATCATGAGCCTTAAAATTATTTTAACCTCATCTAAAAGGAAAATAGAAATGTCATTTCAATTATGATTTGGAAGGAGTTAGGATAGGTGGGGGTGAGAAAGCCTCAAAGACATGCTTTATCTTTGAATAATGTTCACAATGTACCAAGGCATGCAGGAAAAAAAAAATTAACAGTTGGCATTCTATACATCTCTGTTTTGGTGCATTCTCTCAGATTTAAAGGAACAGTTTGGACATTTCTCCAAAAATAATTATGATAGGAATTAGTAAAAGAGAGAGCCAAATTATAACTATTTTTACCCAGTTATGTGTTAGTGCTTAGAAGTTGCTTAAATAAGCAAACGGTAAACTAGAAAATGAATTAACAGCAGCACTGGGGCCAGATTTGCTAATCTGACCACAGTTTTCTAGTCTTGATACTTCTCCCACCACACTGTCGCATTCTATATTATGATCTTTTAGAGCAGCAATTAGTTACTGCTTAATAGAAAGTTCAATATTCACAAATGTTTATCAAATAATCCAGTCATGGTCAGGCCTGTTTTCCCCAAACACAAGCAGCAAGTTCTACCTTCTCCTGTTTCCCCTCAAATGACTTGAGAATCAGCATCACTTGGTTCCTCCCCTCTAATGCTGTTGGATGGAAAGAAAAAACAACAAAAAAAAGAACACCCACATAAGTGAAATTAAAATCTGCACATGAAATATGGCAACATATGTTATGTATGAATTAAAAGATGGAAAATTCTGTACTAAGGGATTTACAGAGATGAATGTCTTTAAAAAAAACACGCAGAAAAGTGTGCAGCACTTTTGCTCGAAGGTTCTGTCATATTCTATACTATAAGAAGGGTAAGAGCAAATTTTGTTGCTTCTTTGATGTGTAGCTCAGTGAACAGATTACAAAGAAGTTCCCTTTTCTCTGCAGCAAAAGTAGTGAATATTGTTACTGAAGAAATACTAGAATAGCCCTAGTTCAGTAACCTTGTAAGGTTCAAGTTACCACATTCAGGTCAAATAAGCAATTGCTTCAAGATTTTGAACGAAGTAGCCTATATAGCACAAGTTTTAGGACCTTCTACTCCAAGAGTAAAAGAGGAATGAACTATGGACACAACACTGAGTGGTCACAGCTTGAAAAAACCAGTGAAGAGAGAAATACCAGAAAAGGGATTTCTAGTGGGTTTTCCCCCTACTGTTAGCCTAATTATATTTTTCTGCTGACTGGTTAACACTGATTAAATGCTGATAAAGTGACAATTGTAAGCATACTTTTAGAAACAAATACACATACTATGCCGCCATCACAACTTTCAAAAAAATCCCAAACAAATTTATGAAAAGTAGAGTCCCACTTGGAAATTACTGACTGCCTCTTATCCACTCTTGTAGACCATATGTTATTTTGAAAACTACATAAAAATACTATTAAAGGTGTTAAAAGTAAGGCTGCCAGGGTGTCTATAAAATGCCAGTCATCAAAACTATGGAAAAACAGTGCTTAAGTTTAGAAAAATAAGATCAAAGGACCTCAGATGTATTACAGTGGTCCTTAACTACCTGTAGTTTAAAAGTTTTGCTATATGGTACAGTGTAAAACATACTGAATTATAAATTCCATAGGGGAAGTAAACATAGAACCCATGACGACTGAACTCATCCTAGGAGTTATCACTGAAAATAACAATGTGTTTGTATTCCATAATCTCTAAAGAACAAAAAACCAGTTTATATTTTGAAACAAGTTCTTCTTTAAAGAGTAAAATTACTTATACCATTTGAAATCGCTGAAGTCCTACCCAGAAAACCCTAAAATTTCCTGCCTTCCATCATAATCCTGAACATCAGTGGCAAATTAGAATATCTTAGGAGAATCTATATGAATCAAGTGATTTTTTTCAAAGCACGGTATGCCTTATATCTATATGTGGCAGATATGAACTGCTTTAAGTTCCCATAAAATAAACAAGCCAAGTTATCAGGAAACAATATTCCCCGTCCCTTCTCTCTTCTGCTTCTTCCTCATTATAATTAGGCAGAGCAAATGACACTGCGTCCACAAAATAAGAATTATTGACAGTAATAATATTTTTTTAAAAAAAGGTATGCCAACATCTGAGGGAAGGTGGGATTGTAAGTGCAGTATTTCTTCATGTGCAGTCCTTTACTTCATAGGGGTCCCCTTTGGAATGAAAAGGCCTAGTGGAATGTGTGCTCCCCTCGAACAATGTGTGATGAAAACTCGTAACGGTCCTGGCTTCGATAGCCACAGATGTTGCATTCCAGTGGGTCCCGGTAGCCATGGCAGCCCATGTGAATAGTATACATGACATGGTCTAGGAAAAGGACTCGGCAGTGCTCACACTTGAAGGCCCTTATCTGTTCTCCTTCTCCATTGAAAACCTTATAGATGTCCTTCAGTGAGCCCTTGGGAGCCTTGGTGGTATCCAAAGCCTTGACATCCTCCTTCATGTAAGCTGGGCTTTGTTTCCTCTTGGGATTTAAGGCAGGGTTTCCTTGGTAGGACTGGTGGTCATCATGGCTGCTTTCTGAGTCAGTTGAATCCAGGCAGCTATTGCTGGGAGAGGCCTCTCTTTCCTGGGGTCGACTCTTTGGTCTGATGAGAGAGATAGGGCCATCCATGTTGTTTTCATGACTATCAGAGGTTTCCCTGCTAATGGGTCTTTCTATCCTGTTTGGATGATAGACCTGAGAATAAGCTGAGCTTATAACTGGGGCCACCTCAGCGATTGTGCTTGGCGGGTGCGGCATCAGAGGGTGAAGGGCCTCAGCTCCAAGGTAGGTGATTGCATTGTTGATGGCTTGGTCCATCATGTGAGACTGCATCAGCTCAGCCTCCTTCTCATATGTTAAGTTCATATCAAAATGAATATCTGGGTAGCTGAATCGCATGAGCTTTTCCCCTGGAAGGAGGAGAAAGAGAAAAGAAAAAGGAAAAAATAATGAAATCAGATAATGGATTAAAAGTTATAAAAGGGAATAAAGTTAAGAAATCACTTCCATTTTTCCATAAAATGGTATATCTTTTTCTTCAGACCAAGTGTTTGGGCTCTTTACTTTTGCTGAGACCCAGAGACATTCTAACTATGAAAAGAAAACTAGTCACAAAAAGTCATGTGAACTTATTCTAATGCTATCACAAGACTACATTTAGCCCGAAAGGTATGTTTATCTTGTTTTCGCTTTCTATTGAATTTCTTACTTGCATAAAGCTTAGGGACTATAGCAAAAAGAATTAAAATGAGGTGAAAATAAGTCAGAGACTATGTTTGATTTGCATATTTCAAACACAGTGACCAAGTTACTAAGATCATGAAAGCAAGTGTTATTTGGTTATAATATCTCACCTCACTCTTGTGTAGGATTAATTTGGTTTATTTTACTGTTACTTGAGAAAAACGTCAACCAGCCAATGTATATCATTGTGAAGGATTAAAAAAAGTCCTTATTAGAATACTTGTAAAAGTTGCATCACCTAGCAAAATGAAGTTTAAGGCTACTTAAAAATAAGCTGGGTGGCTGGAGTCATGGCTCAGTGGTAGAGCGCTTGCCTGGCATGTGTTAGGCCCTGGGTTCGATCCTCAGCACCGCTTATAAATAAATAAAAGATCCAGTGACAACTAAAAAATATTAAAAAAACAAGTTAGGGGTTATTTCTACATGTACTTTCTCATAATCTTGGAAGATCTTGTGTTTTATAACTTTGTTGCTAAAAATTGACAGTTACTCATTTTTACATCATCACTTTCTTATTTAGATATGTGCGATGATGCTGTTATGGACATACATTGTTAGTTTTCTGTGCTTTTTCTTGCTTAAAATATCTTTGTGGTTTTTCTTTAATATTTACTTAAATGAATATAATTTTACTCTAATATTCAACATAATGCCTGAACATTAACTATACAACAGTTTTGGTACCTGAAATAGGAAAGGCAACTTTAATTTTTCTCAAAATATTGCAGATGACAGAATAGTTTGTCAATTAAAAATTCTGTCACTAAAACAATGTGGTATTTGCCTAGTTATTCTGATAGGTAAATCTTATAGATAAATGTTTCTTAAAAATATATGTAGAATTCTTACATTTAGTATGCTAAATATAATTTATAATCATGATAGCAAAAGTGGATCCAGAGAACTACATTATGGAAAAGCACATTCAGGTAGTCAGTATTATTTCATATTTGAAGAAATGGCTCCAAAGACAGATCAGGGTAATGATTAGAGTAATAAAAAATTGAAGAAAAAATGATGAGAAATTATTTCATGGCATCCAATTTAAGATATTGTAATGTCAAGAGTTTCAAAGTTACATTACATAAACCTGATCTATATTCTCAAAGAACTTACAGTTTTGAGGGAATGACAGCAATTTAATGACCATTTATAATACAGCTCAGTGTATGTGATAGGGTCAAATAAGAGACACATTTAACTCATACCAGGGGAGTAAAGAAAGACTTCTTGAAGAAGGTGGTGGCAGGAATAAGAATGTGGTGGCCAACACCAGTCAAACAAAGAAACGTGGAGGTAGAGCCTCTGGTGGGAAGGCTCAGGCAAGAGGGCATGACTTATAAATAAGGAAGTGCTTATTTTTCAGCAGACCTGAGAGGAAACAGATGAGAAAGATGAACCAGATAATATAATACAGGGCTCATTCAAAGCAAAGGAATTGGAATCTTAGCCTAAGAGCAATAGGAACTGAAGGGTTTAAACAGGGAAGTAGTCTGATTAGATATTCATTTAACAAGAGGATTTAGGAAGTTGCTATAGCAATCATGGTGGCTTGAACTGTCTAATATCAGTGCAAATGGAGAAAAAACCAACAAAATGGATTTTAAAATGAAACGTATTTCTAAATGAAATTTTAAAATACAGTAGTCAGGGCTTGATGTTTATCTAGATGTAGACAACGAGAAAGAGAAAGGAAGCATGAAGCACAGTTTTCTGGCTTGGGAAACAGTGGATGACAGTGAGATAGAAAAGATGATAAATTCAGTTTGGGGGCACTATGAGTAATAGTCATTCCAGTAAGCCCCTAGATAAAGTATCAAACTTAGGAGAGAGATCTGGGTTTAAGATGTAGACATGAGAGTCATCAGTTGATAGAAGTTGATCTGAAGCATGGGAACATACTATTATCACTCAGCAACAGGTAAACTGTGAAGAAGAGTCAGAAATAGAACCTGGGAAACAATTTTATGTTAACTTACAGATAAAGCCAACTGGTATTCCTGAACTTGGCATCATGTTTAAAAAGCCCTAGGCCTTGCTCATCATGGAATGAGGAGTTTCTAGGGCTAAAAGAATGAACTGGGGTTGTAGCTTAGAGGTAGAGCACTCGTCTACCATGTGTGAGGAATTTCGTTCAATCCTCAGCATCACATAAAAATAAAATATTGTGTCCATCTGTAACTAAAAAATGAATTTTTTTTTTAAAAGAATGTGCCTATCAGGCTCACTGCCCAGACCATAGTCTGGGAACTTTCAGATCCCAGAATTTCTTTATCAAATGGCTCCAAGGGTGCTTCCAGTCTGTACAGTTTTTTCATGAGTTCCATTCTCCTGAATATCAACTGTGCCACTGATGAGCAGTCACCTAAGCTTGACGCATGGCCATGATACTACTCTTTTTGTGATAGGTGTGCAGTATAAAAAGAATTTGGAAATGCAAGACAGGAGTGTCTAAATGTGTGCATGAGCACCATTCTGATAACAGAGAACCAGGAATCGGTCTAAGGGAGGGGTCTGGCTGCAGGCCAGAAGGTGGTTCTGCTCATGCTGCCAATGTCTGGTGTGGAGTACTAAGCAATCTGAGAATCCTATATTTATGTGAACTTAGACTTCTAAGTTAGGAGGGTAGAACATCTGTTTTTCAGCTTTATTTAAAATAGTAAACTATTTAGACATATGAATGGTGTCCTCCATTGTACTCTACTTCTGCACAGTTGAAAAGGATAAGTACCCAGAGAGGAATAAGAAGAAGCAATTAGGGAAGCTGGCTGGAGGAAATGAAGGAGAGAACAACGTCATGGAGCCAAGAAAAGATTATGTTCAGAAGGAACTGACTATTCAAAAGTGGCAAATGCTCGCCAGGAGTTGGGTAAGAGATACAGCCTAAAAGGGTCCACTGGACTTGGCACTGTGAAAGAAAGCTGCAACATCCAGAAGATAATTTCAGTGGAGCATGGGGAAGAAAGGAAGTTACATGAACTAGGATAAAAGAAAAAGAAAGAAAGAAGTCATGGAAAGTAGGCACAGAATTCTTTCAACAATTCCATCTTTGAAGAGAAAGAGAAAGCAGGGAGTGATAACTAGAAGGAGACTTGGGCTTGAAGGAATTTTTAAAAGGTTATAATTTGTCACCTTAAATACTGATAGGCAAGTGAGAAAAAGGAAAACTAATCATGTGAGGTATCTGGGGGGGGGGGCATAATAGAAAAATTCCAGACACCAAAAGAGAGAATCGGAGGGATAGTGCTTTTACTGAAATAAGGAAATAAAGACTAAAATATTAACGAAAATGCACATGATCCTATAGGACTGGTAATATATTGAAATCATTTCAACTCATTCCCTAGGCATAAGGTAAGAAGCTTGCAGAGAACAAAGGTTCAAAATAGCAGCAGGAGAGAAGTTTGGGGAGAGACTAGAGGAGTGCTGCTACATAGTATGGATGGACCAGCTGATACTGTAGATCAGTTAATCATTTATCTATTGACTGTGGGATTTTCTCCAAAATACTAGTATAAATATGGAAAAAATGCTCAGTCAGCTCCATGAGAGAGTGAGGTTTCACCAAGAGAAGGTGGCAGGACAACAAGGCAGGAGTCAAGCACGCTAGCATGAGAGTGCCAGAAGACACAGAATGCATAAAGTGCATAGATCACTGGCCAGGAGACCTTGACAAGGTCAAAGAATAATATTTAAATGAGGGAGATAGAAAAAAGGAATTTTTGGCAAGTATGGAATGATGAAAAGTTTCATTTCAAGAACAAGCACTGAAACAGTCACTGTGCTATTCTTTGCTATATCTTCTTAGGATAGAATCCAAATAAAGGGAAAAAAAAATCTCATTCTTCATAAAAACATCTAATGTCATTACTTTAGACTCATACGGTAATTTTCTAAAAATCTGTCTCTTTTCTAAGGAATATAATTAAGAGTACCATTTCCGTCATAGGAAACATGACAAAAATGTTACAAAGAATAGACTATATAAATTCAAAAGACAAAAAAGAATACTAACAAATTTCTTATTTTTCCAACTATACTTAGTGTCTAGTTGGATATAAGCATTTGATGTCCTTCAATAAATTAATTTTTAAAAAATAAATGTAATGGTTTCTGATCTCCCACCTCCTGTTTTCCCCCCTCCTCCCCCTCAAAGATACGTATAAAAAAGAAGAAAGGGTAGCAGAAAGAAGTTCCCAAGGTAGGGCTCTGAGTACAGTCTTGAACTGACTTAATATGACCCCTAGAGTCGCTCATTAAGCTTCTTTCAGTGAGTTCTTACTAAATTCCACCAGCTGGTCAAAAGGCAGTATTTTGTTGATTTGTTGGTTCTTCGATTTTAGATAGAAAGGAAACCTTCTCAAAACGCTATGGAAACAGAATTTTATTACTCCTTCCTTTCTGAAGTAACCAAAGAAAAGGTTTTCTCCTAATCATCCCTCAATCAGGATGTCCTACAATGCTGAATTTAGAATGTGAGAATCTGTTTTAGTACTTTTCTTTTCTTATTTTTACCTACACATAAGGATTCAATAATATATATATTAAATACACGGTGATGACATTTCTTTAACAAATCTTTCTGTTGAATATAACTTTTACTTTCTAAAAAAAAAGCTGATTTTTTTTTTAAATCCTTAGAGACACACTATGACTTACAGCATGCATTTAGAATGATGCCAGCACTGGGCGTATCAAAGAATATCTAAGGGTCTGGATATGAAAAGGGCAAGTCTAAATATATGATATCTAATCTTTTCAGTTCAAATTCATAGGCTGGATGGAAAACAAAGATCAAAATATACAGTATAGATCCACATGTGAAGGATTTTGAATGTAGGTTGCTACATTATTTTTCTAATGTAGAATTCTGGGAAAAAAATCTCTTAATTCTAGATCAAATACTAAAAGAATTAATACCATGTTAAAAAAAAGTAAAAATCCTGGTATTACTTCCAAATTAAAAACAGTTATAAAGCTGGCTAAAAGGCTAGATCATAGGGCCCTTATAATGTGTAATTATTTTTAAATAATATTTTATTTTGTATGTTATTTCAATTTATATATTATTATATTTTTAGATGGAAACTGATGATTAGCAGTCTTTACTTCTCTTTCTTATGCTTGTATATCTAAGGGTGTGTTTGTGTGTGTGTGTAAATAAGAGTGTTTATCTGTGTGTATGTGTGTGTGTGTGTGTGTGTGTAAATAAGTGTGATGTCGATGGAGTATCAGGGAGTAGAAAAGAATAATGGAGAAGAGATGATTATTTTTTCATGACCTAAGATGTCCCATATATATTTCTAATACATAGGAACTTGCCTTTCCAACTGAGGTCACCTGGTAAAGAAACAAAAGCATTTGCACTGCTTACCCACAAACTTTTGTGGAGTGGAGCTTTTACGTTTTCCCATATTCCCTGTGAGCTTCTCTATGACAGCAGGTCTCTCAAAAGGCACCAGAGAAATATTGTTGTCCATAATAGGCTCTTGATCCTTACAATCTTCCATAGGAGGTACTATATAAAACCACACAAAAAGGCATTCTGGTAATTTCTTCAACAATTTGAAAGATACAGAGATAAATTTGCCATTCCAATATGCTATAAAAAACATAAGCTAGTATGTTTGAATGAAAGCAAGTAGAAAGAATAACCTCTAGTGTGAAAGAATACTGTTTAATTTTACACACACATACACACACACAAAGTACACACACATTCAGTGGAATTCATTTTTATCTGAGTTTCTCTCAGATCAATAACATAAACTGTTGGCACTATTTGTGGCAAACATGTTCATCTGATTTCTCATATTTTGCCTAAAATTGTTTTGAACACTGATTAAAATCAATAATTCAAGGATACATTATTTTAAAGGCTTTGGAGATTATCTTTATAAAACAACTTTAGAAAGTCAGCTTGTTTCAGAGAAATCCTTAACCAGACACTCAGAATAACAGCAAAATATTTTTTGACCATTTCCCCGCCACCCCAACCCCCATGTATTTTCCTGCAGCAGATTTTCTGTTTGATGAGCTGTTAGCCTTATTGGCAGTAGCTTAAATACCTGCACAAAGGGGAGATCCAATTCTGAACATGTCTATGCATAGTAAACTGTGGCAGCTTTATGATCGTAATTTATTTTAAAAAGAGCTCTTTAGCAAGATAAAACAATCCATTTCCAAATTGGCACATTGGCTCACTAAACTACTGCTCTAATTCATTTGACATAAACTCCAGGGCTGTTCTCTACTGGTCCCATTTGTCTAAGTTGCTATGGGCTATTATGTCAGGCTTTAGATATTGACATTAGATACTGATGTTGATAGTCTAGATAATAAAGGTTGTTTTTGAGTAGAAATACTGGCCAAAGATTTTGAATTAAGGATAGGGTAACATTTTCGATCAGATTTAGCTGATTAAAACTAATGTTCACAGGAAAGACCTAAAGGTTCCATATCTTTAGCTATCATTACTTGTTCATCATGCACTGAAAAATTATTTACTTTGGTCCATTAATTTGTACAGGGGAGTCCCACTGTGTGAAACACAATGTATTCTCATCCATAAGGGGATCCTGGTGTTATGCACTAAAAGTAAGAAAGCAAAGATGAAAGGGAAGAAAATTGAGTGTCCAATTCAGGTAACTCATTTAATAGCCACTAGCAGGTTGCTAATTTTGAAGAAATGAAAAATAGCATCACGAAAGGTTTCCTTAGTTTGGACAATTTAAGGAAATTAACATTCAATCTATCTAACACATAGATTGGATGGGCCAGAACGAGTTAATCTTCAATCTACGTTTAATAAGAGGTCTTCTGGCTATAAATAGCAAGAAATATTGCAACTATTGGATATTAATATGGAAAACCAATTCCAAAAAGAGATTCAGTAAGAAGGAAACATAGGTAATTTTCTATACCAAAATTAATCATGGTATTATCAATGAGAAATGTGTATCTCAAAACATTACCTATAACTTTCTCTTTCTCCCCCACCCCCTCTTTATTTCTTCTGGAAGTAGAACCAGGACCTCATACATGATAAGCAAGTGCTCTACCACTCAGCTACATCCCCAGCCTTTTAAAAATATTATAAAACAGTGTCTTACTAGCCTCAGCTTTTGAGTAGCTGGGATTATGAGTGTGTACCACCAAGCCCAGTATTATGAAATCTGTCAACAACTAAAAGAAAATAATTAAGAGAAAATCAAGAGATTCTAAAAAGAAATCAAAGAATTTTTTAAAACAATCAAGAATGACCACACAATTTAGAATACATGGTCAGGAGAATGGAATGGTGGTGGTGATGTGGTGGGGAGCCAGGTAATATGAAAAACAGATTATGGTCAAAATCTTAACTTTTTGGAGAAGGAGTAGTAGATTCACAGGAATTTACTGCATTATTAAAATAACTCCAAAACTAAAGTAGTTTATGGGTGAAACAAAGATGAAAATATATCACAGACCTAGATTCAAAATGAGAAAAATTTTGCAAGAAAAAAAAATTGTTGTAAACTTTGCTAAAAAAACAGCAAAAGTGGTTAAAGGGGTTTGCCCCCCAAATTGAATATGCTAACTAGTTCTGAAATGAGTAATCTAAAACTTGGCAGTTCTGGTCTAAGTCTTACCCTGAATTTTCGTATTTGCACATATTTAACACTCAAAACGAAACCTGGGTGTGGGAACTGTCCCACACCACATCCACCTCAATTCAGATGATTTGCCCCAAGTTCAATGAAGCTCATGTAAACTGAAAACAATGACTTTGGCAGAGCTCTGGTTTAATCTCTTCTTTATAACAGCCCTTATGGCCCAAATTGATCTTCTTTTACTATGCCAGCAATAATAACTGGTTTATACTAGGTGCTAAGTACTATTTTAAGACGTCACATTTAATAATTCTTTTAATTCTTTCAAAAACCCCATGAAATTGGTGTCATTACCATCTTATTTTACAGAGGGGAAACAAAAATCTGGCTACCTTAAGTAATTTCTTCCATGTTGTGCTTACTTCTACTTAGGAGGGAATGTTACTACTAGGAGGTCTGGATCCAGAACCTGACCTCTTAACCACTATGCTATTCTGTTCTTTGTAGATGTCTCTTAAACACTGACATCTTATAAACCAGTTGACATATCTGTTAATGGAAAAAAAACTGATGCTCTTTTACTCAATTATGTAATCACGTAATCTGATTTTTTCACTTTCATGAATCTGGGAGCAACTCAACAAAATGTTTCTGTATATATACTGCTTAAAACACAAAGCAAATTCTCTAGGTATCTGACATCTTAATTGCATTTATCCTATTGTAAGACATTTAGCTAGGCTAAAAACATACCAATGTGCTTAACTTCACTTGTTTGAGCAAACTTCATAATCAAAGATCTTTTTTGACCTTATTTATTTTTATACTTGCATTGTATCATTGTTTCGTCACATTGATGAACCATAAAGTCAGAACCATAATAGTACTCCCAATATAGCTTTTACTTTCCTTCCTTCCAGACTGGGGATTGAATCCAGGACCATGTGCATGCCAGACAGAAACTCTACCACAGAGAAACATCTCTAACCCTCCGTAAAAATTTATTTTGATATAGGGTATTGTTAACTTGGCCTGGATGGCCTCAAACTTGTGATCCTCCTGCCTCAGCCTCCCAAGTAGCTGGGATTATAAGCATGCACCACCACAGTGGCCCTAACATGCATTTCATTTGTTGGTTGGTTGGTTTTGTTTGGTTTTTATCTTAAAATTCAAATTCCAAGAAGAAACAGAATGAAGAACCTATATTAGGTCACAGGTGTACCCTTGGATAGGACAGGGCTACGGAACTGCCCTGACATCCCCAATAGCTGCATGCAATGGGAGAAAGTTCTCAAAAAGGAACATGGAACTCATATTATCAAGAGAAGAGGGAAGGGATATCAGGCAGGCAAAACAGATGTCTTGAATTCTGTCACAAGTTTTCTCCATGTCACTGAATCTAAAACCAAAACTTCTCATTTACATGAGTTATTTTCTTGACAGCATTCAACAGTGCTGATACTCGATTTGCTGCTGATACCTAATACCCGATACTGTTTTTACTCATCTTCATTGCTCTTATTATTCCCAGTGTGTTCTTGGCCTTCTAGGTGTCTCAATATATTTATCTGAAGAGCCTTCACTGTGGTTTGGATATGTTCATGTGCTAGAAACTTGGTCCATGATGTAATGATACTGAAAGGTGGTGGGGCCTAGTGGAAGCTGATTAAGTCACCAGGGCACAGACCTTGTGAAGGGATTAAAGCTAGTCTCACAGAGTGGCTTAGGTTTACCAGGAGTGGATTAGTTCCCAGGAGACTCAGCTGATAAAAAGAGAAAGCTCAGTCCCTCTTGGCTCTCTCTCGCTTCTGATCTCATCATGAGACTTCTCTCTTATACATGATTCCAACACATGATGCTATATGACATGAGGCCCCTCACTAGAAGCCGATATCAGTGTCTTTTGCTCTTGAGCCTCCAAAACCATGATTCAAATTGAACCTCTTTTCCTTATAAAATACCCAATCTTAGGTATTTTGTTATAGCAATTTAAAATGGATTAAGATACTTTATTAAAACCTATTACTTCATACTACCTATATAATGATGGCTACCACATCTTTATTTCCTATTCAGACCTCTCTAAGAAGCTCAAGATATGTATGTGTGTTTGTGTGTATTTTTCAACTTTCTCCTGGACAGCTTTGCTTGACTATCAAAGATGTGTTCAAGGCCTGGGGATATAGTTCAGTTGTTAGAGGGCTTGCCCCAGCACCACCAAAAAAAAAAAAAAAAAAAAAAGATGTGTTCAAAAACTGAAATCTCCCTTTGGTTCCCAAGCCTATTTTTCTAAGTTCCATCTCAATAAATGGCACTATGATCTATTCCATCATTCATGCTGTATACCTGTGGTTATTCCCAGATTTCTTCCTCTCATCCTGTTTCAGGCCTTGCCTCCTCCCTACCACATCTCATTACAAACAATCATAAAGGTACCAAGTGTTTCAGAATCCACATCTGCAGCTGTTCTCAATTACCTAATCTTTCTATATATTCCAGGCCACTGAGCCCCCCTCAACCACAGCAACAATCTCCTGCTTGGTCTGTGTTTCTCAACTCCTCTGATCTGTGTCCCATATTTCTATCCATAAAATATAAATGCAATCCTATCTTTTGGGTTAAAGTACAAAATTCTTTGCCTAGAACAGTAGGCCCTTGACGTTTGGTACAGAACATATATCTTTACTCTCACAACCTTCTCTTGTCTTTACAAATTGGGCTCCAAATGTGCAAATCTCCTAGCAGGTCCTTAGCTCTCCGTGGTCTTTTAGACTTCTGTTTCTTCATATATGCTATTCACTCTACATGAAATGCCACTCTCCACTTATTAGCTTGTTATTTTTACCTTTCAAACTTAACATAACTTCCCCTAGAAATTCCTCTTGGAAATCCAGTCTGATTTAGATACTTGTGCCCTGTGACACTTGCCACACAGTGCTCTAATTGTTGGTTTATTGGTTTATTTCTTCCAATAGTTGGTAAAAACCTCAGAGATGGCAATTTATTTGACTTTCTATGTGAGACACTCTATTCAATGGATCTTTATAATATAACTTACCAAAGGAAATGATGTCACACAATGGAAAAAAGACAAAAAAACTAAATAGAAAGTTTGTAAACTCTCAATTATACCTCCATGGTTGGGGAAAACAACCTCCCTTTCCAAAATAATCCAAAGTGCAAATCTATGAAATCATAGCTTTCAAGTCGGCTGACTTTCTGGTTCACACTTTGATTTTTGTCTTCTGGCAAGAAGGCAATTAATTACATAGTTTGGTTTTTAAGGCTTTGTCTTCAAGCTAAACAGTCATGAAAAATGAGCATAGAAATAAGATAAATAATCTGCCAAGAAAACCAATTCATTGTTATCTGTATTTCCTAAACTAAAAGTCATGAAATTCCTCTCCTTTCCTCAAAATCAACCAACATTTATAAAAACTTTTTATTTAACTTCCTAAATATGTTTTTAATGTTCCTCTCAGTGTCTTGTCCCACCACTGCCCCTTCATCTTTTCTTTGGCACTATCACTTTGGGTCTCTCCTCACACTCACGCCCTGCTCCAGACAGATGTCAGTCCTCTATTCTACTTAGGTGACATTTGTCTTTAAAATACACACATTTGATTAGGTAATATTGAGACTTCACCAGTACAAAAGGGTCTGCTTTTCCTGCCATTCCTTTAGCTCCAATCATACCCAGTGTCAAAGAATCTGTTAAGGATTCTTTATTCCTTCAAGCTTCTTCCGTGTTCTCTGCATGGAACGAGCAGCCTCTGTGTCCTGTCAGGTACCTGTGACTCTTACCATCTCTCATGCTCATATCAAAACACTATGTCATAGAAGAAGCTTTCCTTGTCTTCTCCATCAGGCTACCCCTACATCCATGCTCCCAAACTGCAAACACATCTTTATTAACCATTTTGCTTCATTTCATCTTATTATATTTAAAATTTATGTGTTTCCTAACAGAATGTAAGTATACAAAAGACACTGTGTTCATTTATCTTTAAATTCCCTAAATGTTTCATAGAACTTGGCAAAGAGCAAGCAAGCCCTCAATAAATGTTTTCTGAATGAAGTAGAAGAATGTCTTTTTTTTTTTTTTCCTTCAGACATTTCCTTAATAGAAGAACCAATATGGGATGAACTTGTTTTAGAAAAAAGATGTTAGGAAAGACAACTCTATTAGAAATGAACAAAAATTCCCTTTATAGATTTAACAGCAACCATACTAACTGGCAACCCTAACTCCTACCACTAAAAGGGAAACAAAAGAAGTAGATAATATATAGCAGGAAAAGAAGAGAGGGATGGGATAAATATGAATTTTATTGTGGCTGAAAAGGAGACCTTGGCCATGCTATGTGTGTGTGTGACAAGATTAATGATGAACTTATGTGGTTTCTACATACAGTTTTCTCTCTCATGGATGTATCAACTCCTACCTCATAAAGTCAACTCTCCATTAAGCAGGTCAATAAAAGAAAAAGGAGATTAATGATGACTCCAAATTAATGTTACAACAAACCTAGAAAAGTATGGTAGAAAATGGCATTCATATTATGGTTAATGTGGTTAAAATGGTATCTAGTATTTAAGAACAAATATTCAAGTCTATCCATGACATCAAGAATTATCTTCCTCTTCTACTTCTCCTTGGCTTTCCCTCTTTCTCTGTCCCACTCGTCCTCCTCTGTCCCAGCTTTGGCACCACCTATAAAGGGCCTGTGTCTGAAAAGATCCAAGAAATCTGGGAAATAAAGGGCAATACCGAAGTCCCAGTTGTTTACAAGATGTCTTTTTCTCTTCCCAAAATACATTTAACTTTTTTGTCAATAGTAATTCTATGACAGTTTAATGAGCCAAATGTTGGTTATAATTATTTATTTATACCTTACTTTCCTGCAATAATATAAAATCTTTTAGGAGAAACTCTATTTTGATTATTTGGGTATGTATGCCATTTGGAGTTTCATAAATAACTAAATGGAAAAAATTAATCAACAGAATGTGCATATTATTCCAATCAAATGTTAGAACAGTGGGAAAACAGGAAAAAGTAGTAGTGATGCCATAAGGGATCTCTGGGAAGCTCTGGAATGCTCCCGATGTCCATGAACCCCCTGACTTAGGCAACCCTTAAATCCAAAACAGTGTTCTAAGGAGGCCAAGGGAACCTGTACTTCTTAACAGTGGCAAGTGACGACTTTATAGGGGAGGACAGATTTCTGTTTCTTAGTATTTAATGTCCTAAAATGTGCAAATTATTTAGGGGGTGTTTACTGTACATCTGATACCATTTACTTCTTACACTATGCCTATGACACTACAGCAGCAGATCAGGGTGACTGGACTTCACAGCCCACCATTTTATAACCTCTATGCTGTGGGCCCTATGTCATGCTTGCATGCTCAGGCAATAAAAGCTTGCAATACCAAAAAGAGTTCAAATACAAACAAAAATGTTAGTAATATAAAAATAAATGGACTCAATCATAACAACTAATGGAATTAAATCAGATTCTTTAGATTACAGAACCTATCCTTAATACAAGGAAATACGTAAATTATTTAGAATAACAACAAACATTCAAAATTTTAATTCTCAACTCAACAACAAATAATTTTATAGTTTAATAAAATTTAAAGAAATTAAAAAATTTTATAACAATTATATAATTTATTAGATAGTGATCTAATAAGCACATCCCCATAAAACCCATAAACACATAAACCAAAAAAACCCATAAATTATCCTCAAGGTAGTATATCTAAGCCAATAAAAGAATATTTGTATTTTAAATGTAAGTAAAGAAAACTACCATTCAATATCAGCCAACCATTTTTTAAAAATATTTATTTTTTAGTTTTAGGAGGACACAATATATTTATTTTATTTTTATGGGGTACTGAGAATCGAACCCAATGCCTCACACATGCTAGGGGTGCGTGCTACCACTTGAGCCACATCCCCAGCCCCTCAGCCAATCATTTTTAAGTAAGGATAGAAATATATCAATAAGATTTTTTAATTCATATGAATAATATAATCAGTCAGTATAAAAATATAATTAGGGGTTGGGGTAGTGACTCAGTGGTAGAGTGCTCACTTAGCACATGTGAGGCACTGGATTTGATCCTAAGCACCACATTAAAAAAATAAATAAAATAAAGTTATTGTGTCCAGCTACAATTAAAAATAAAATATAATATATGTATATATATATATATATGTATATATATATATATATACATATATATATATATAATTATTTAGGCAAGACAGAAAGTAGAAATCTAAAGAACTAAAATCCATCACCTTCCTTTGTTAGGCTGACTTACTAAAATTGACTTTTTGTGAATTGAGACTTATGAATTCGTGAGCCTTAAGGACAAACTTCCTGTCACTGTGTATTGTGGAGATCAGGCTGTTTTGCTTACAGAATGTTTTTTTAGGAGGGTGATGGTGTCAAAGTTTAGTCTAAATCATGTCTCACACATGTGAAAGCAAAATTAATAATTTCTCAGATTAATTATAAGATAGACTGGAGAAAATTCAAATTATATCACTGAATATTTTCCCAATACAAGAAATAATGCAAATAAGCAATTCATTCTTTCTGGAGACCTACAGCCTCGTGTGGAACCATTTCTAACATTTGGTTAGAGAAAACAGCAGCTTCCCTTGGCGTAGTAAAGACTGGCTGCCAGTGTTACATGAATTCAAACATTATCCGAAGTAATTTGGGAGTATCATAAAAACTCAGTAGAGCTTGTTGGCAACGTATGGATGTATCCCAAAGCTCAGCTCATTTCAAGTGTTTAAAAAGATAATCCCATACAAAGCTAATATGATCTAAAATTTAAACAGAGTAAGATTTGATCTTCATGTTGAAGGGTGGAGGGAACTATTTAGCCCATAAAAGACTACAGGAGCAGCACAGGAGGGCATGAAAATCGCGACGCTATTGCTACCCACCATGGTGACTCATGACCTGCCCAGCAGCCTCCATGCTGACATTCTGCAGATAGTTGTGGCAGCGTTCCTTGTGCTCCTCCAGTGAACTGCGTTGCTTGTAGCTTCGTCCACAGTAGTTGCACTTGTGAGGTTTACCCACTGCAAAGAGAACAAGATTAGGATGCTGTGAGTCTCATCCACGTCCGAAGCGAAATTAACAGCTAACTTTTGACAGTTTGGAGGAAGCATTTATATGCTTTTCAGACTTATATCTCTTTCTCCTCCCACATTCCCATTTAGGCAAGAAAAGATAATAAATTTCTACTAAGACAAAATACACTAAGAAGACAGGCAGCTGGTACCTTCAGCAATAGGGGAAATACTGAATCAAACTCACGTTCTGACTGTATTCCCGACTCTGTGGGACCGATGATCAATTTTCAAATTATCTGACTCTAAACACATTTACACTTACAAAATTATGTCAGCTTTGACTCATTCAAAATACAAATCAGGAGTATCCTAGATACATTTTTTTTGTAAGAGTAGGACATTTTTCTAAAGAAAAATTAAAATGCAACAACTTAAAATGTCATGGTTTAAACAAAAAGAGATTATTCATGGGTACCAAGAAGATTAAAAAGATGCAAGTGGTGAGAAAAAGTACAGATAAAAGTAAAGAGTTTCTCTTTTCTTTCCACCTTGGTAATGACTATTCACACATGTAAAACTTTGCAGTATATAAGTATATTCTTCCCTACCAGCATGCTTTTATAATACTAAGAATTAGCCAGTAGGTGTTGGGGTCAGGATTATTAACAGGAACTATGGAAGCCCAACATATTTAGTTACAATGAAAGTGATATTTTCTAAAACATCTCACATTTGGGAAATGAATTTTCCCCTAATAGGGAGCCATTATCTCAGTATAGCTATTAAAATATGTACTGTGACATTCCTGTACAAAACTTTATAAAATTGATTAAAAACAACCTCTATGGAAAGAGGTTTTAATGTATGATTATTCATGAGGATTTCACAGAGTGCTTTGACTCTTAGGATTCTTAGTTTTAAATGAATAGAGAGCAACAAAAATGCCAGGTGGTCTGTTCCAAAGCCCTCAGTCATAAAACACAGCGTTAATCAGGCCTCATCTCTCATTTGACTCCCACAGGAATCTGAGTTTTGCCAAGAGAAAAGACAGGCAACTCTTTCATGACAGAAGATAGCACCCTTAATTCCAGTCACCTTACAAATCCAGGTGATGATACTGGTCACAAGAGAAACTAAAATACTGTAAGAAAGCAAAGTACTCAAGCAACCTGAATGTTTCACTGGACTGAATTTTTAAAACCAAAAAAAAATCCTTAGGTTGTATTTGAGATCTATACAAAATAAAATAAGTTATTTCATAATTATATATTTTTTGGTAAATTCTCTTAAACAAAAGTTTTTTAAGGCATGATTAGTCATTTAAAAAATACTAGGCAAAGTGTTTTTCAGAACCAATAATTTCTGATAAGTAGATGTGACTATTGTACAGAATTATATCACTACAAGAACAGAAGAAAATATTTTTAATCAAAACAGTGTAAATAATATAAATATATTTATGTGTAATTATAGTCCAAGACGTGGAACTACATAACAAAAAGTCCCTGTTTGCTATTAGCATTATTCATTTTTTACTAGAAATAGTGATGAATTTACACTAAATGTGTCTATTAACTGATTAATAATATACACTTATATTGTAGCTAACTAATACTTGTTAGTCCTGTTACCCAGTCTTATGATACCTCTGTTTTGCTGTGAATATGTCCTCCTAGACTTCCCCTTATTTCAATGAGCAACCTTCATGGCTCCTCAGTTGAATTGAAACATGGCTCCATTCCATTTCTCCTGCCTCCTAACCATCCACAGACTCACCACTCCCCTGACAAGGAAGAAAAGGCACTACACTCTTCACTGCTCTCAGTGCATTTTCCACCCACCCATATACTTTACTACTTCTTCCATTTTGTCATGGATGTACTCTGAAACATCACTTCATTCTCTTCATCTCCTCCTTGTTCTTAGTGAGTCCAATGGGGGTCTGAGCAAATGTTCTAAAGGTATAGCCTCAATTTTCTCACCTTTCAATTTTCATACTACTCAAACAACTCAAATACTGGGTAACATGTAGGACTTTGACATGCCTTGTAACTATTCGATCTCCAAGAAATTTGCTTTGGGAACATTCTACCTTATCTTCCTATCTTTCATTCATTCAATATAGATTTGAATTGTAACAACACTGTGGTGAAGCTGAAAGGCAAAGTGGAGAACAAATTCTCATTATGCCTAATGTTAGGTAAATGACAGCCAGGGGAGGAAGACAGACAATAAATACACAAACAATGTGTTACAGATTATGGTTGGTTCTATGGAACAAATGAATAATGTGCCAGTATGACATGGGGACCATATTTAGTGTGAAAAATTTGAACAGGAAACTCTGTCATAGATAGGAGCATTTAGGGTAAAACAATAAAGGAAAAATAGTAGTCAGAAAATTGGGGTAGGGGTTGGGGTGGGCGGAGGAGTAGCATTTCAGAATTTCTAAGAACTGTTATCAATTGTTTTCTTCAAGATCCACATTCTGCCTGAATACTCTTTGAAAATATTTTTCAAACGTCACCTGCAAATGCAATGGCCAACTATCCTCATAAGATCATTTCCTATCAGTTCCTTGATATTATTTCTTAATAGTATCAAGTCCAAGGAGATATTCTTTATAGTTACTCTCTACGTGACAAGTTTATCTGCAAATTAGGAGTTCATTTATTTGTAAGTAAATACACATATTTTCTCAACAAATATAACATATATATAGTCATAGGAGAGGACCTGTACTGTAATTTTTGTTTTTATAATGGTTATTATTATACATTCTCATCAAATAAAACACTGTCATTCTGATATTATTGAAACATCTTAAAGTCAATAGCCTCCTAATTACTAAATCCAGTGAACTTTTAGCAATTCTAAAATTTCCTAATTTCTCGGTCACCACCAAACCACCTTGTGTCTTGAATCTCCTTTTTGTTTCTGGAATGCGACTCTGTGCTCGCCTTCATTGGCTTCTCAACCTCTTCCCAATTTGTAGACAAACACGTTTTTCCAGATTTTGGTTTCAGTATAATATTCTTCCTCTTTGCTCTCTAGATTAAGTCTTCATTTCTAAGAAACATCCAAATCATGTGTGGAATGATTCCCTGTTTGTGAACTCCTGCTGGCCACCTACACTCTTCATGATTTTGAGATTCCCTTCCACATAACGTAAACATCTGTTTTGATACATGACATCACAGTTGCTCTATAATGATCCAGTTGATATCTGTTTTTCACTAGTCCAAATGAGGAGCTCCATAGGACAAAGATGTTTTACTTATAAATTGATAATGCTTATCATACTTATTACTAAAAATGTAGGAGAAGATATGTATTTACTGAGTGACTGACTGGAATTCAAAACTATATTACCTACGGCCTTTTAAGTATCATCTCATGGATAGTCCCCTGAAATCAAATTTTGCATTCAGATATCTACAATTATCTTCCTCCACAAAACTCCCTCCTTATTCTGATAGCAGCCCTTTTGTGTTGGTGTAGCAACTAGTCTAATAATCCAGACTCACATATGATATGTCAAGAGCTTTGTAATGTTTTGAACAACAAATAAAAAAAAAGAAAAAAAATCCAGACTCACAATAAATAATGTGGCCACTTTTGTTGCCTCCTATTCTTACTTCCAAATATCGATAGTTTCTGTGAACTCAACTGCTTCAATGTTTCTCAAGTTTATCTCTTCCTTTAAATTCTGGGCTAGCATAATATGTTTCAAATAGGGTTTCTCTTCCTGTGTGTAATTATTTTACCCCCTTCTTGAACACTGCCTTCATTGAGGGCAAACTTCTACTGAATAGCTCTATGTGGTTTTCAGCATCCTATGCAAATTGGCCACAAAGCATACCTCCCATCTCAGCAAAATTACCCTGCACTTACACTTCTGAATCTTATGATTTTTGGGTGTTTTGTTGTTATTGTTTGTTTGTATATTTCTGAGTGGCTTCATCCAATTTCTGCTTCTTCAAGTCTCCTCCTTCGTTCTCAACAATCTCTTGAATGCCCTTCCATCTAAAAGTGATCTTTCTTACTAGAGAACTGTGATTGTATTGGCCATTCAAGCGTGGGACACTTTTACTCTTCTACCTTATATTATTTGTGTCTTTTATGCACGATATTCATTTTCATCTCCTATATAACACTGTGAGATACTTGGGAAATTAAATGCTATATGTACCTTTGTAGCTTCCAAAGAGTTTAGAATGGTGTCTTGTTCATAGAAATAACTTACAAATGGACTTTTCAAGGATGACATCACTTGGTAACTCTTTAGTTTTATCTCATCAGTTTTTCTTACATCATTTTCTAATTTCAGAAGCAATACATTCATATAAAGTTTTTAAAAATTTACCAAGAAATCAAGTAACTGTATTTGGCATTTCTGAATTATCCTCTTGAATTTTTCTATACATGCAAAGATAAATTTTGTTATAAAACTGGGTTTATCTTAAATGCTGTATTTTTTTTTACAATATCTTTATATTGTTCATTTATTTGTATATGGTGCTTAGGGTCAAACCCAGGGTCTCACACATGTGAGGTGAGCGCTCTACCGTTGAGCCACAACCCCAGCCCTTATATGCTGTATTTTATAATCTGCTTATTTTATTGAACAATGCATCTTGAAAATTTTCCTGTTATGAAATGGTACTTTTTTCCTGCTAGTAAGTAACAATTTTCTTGTAGATTATAGAATTATGGTAATGTGGAATTACTTACTCTGGTTAGTATTCCTAGGCCTTTTAATTTTCAATCTAATGATTATTTTTCTTTCTTTCTTTTTTAACTACAGTTATATATGTCCATACTTGGAAAAAAACCCAAAGATACCTAAAAGGAATTTAATGAAATGCATACTTTCCTTCCTGTCTGGCTTCCAGCAATCTAATTATCCCAAAAAGCAACCATTTCAACTCCTTCTTCCAGTGATTATATCCATAAATTTCTAACTAATATATAAGTATTTTCTAATTTATCAGGTTTTGAGATAA